AAAGAAATAGGGAATAGAATAGAAATAGAAAGAATAGAATAGAAATAATAGAATAGGGAATGAATAGAATAGAATTAGAATCAAATAGGGAATAGAAAAGAAATAGGGAATAGAATAGAAATAGAAAGAATAGAATAGAAATAATAGAATAGGGAATGAATAGAATAGAATTAGAATCAAATAGGGAATAGAAAAGAAATAGGGAATAGAATAGAAATAGAAAGAATAGAATAGAAATAATAGAATAGGGAATGAATAGAATAGAATTAGAATCAAATAGGGAATAGAAAAGAAATAGGGAATAGAATAGAAATAGAAAGAATAGAATAGAAATAATAGAATAGGGAATGAATAGAATAGAATTAGAATCAAATAGGGAATAGAAAAGAAATAGGGAATAAAATAGGGAATAGAAATAGAAATAACAGAATTGAATAGAGAATGAATATAATAGAATTAGAATCAAATAGGCAATAGAAAAGAAATAGGGAATAGAATAGAAATAAAAGCGTAGCATAGCATAGAATAGAATAGAATAACAGAGTTGGAAGGGACCTTGGAGGTCTTGTAGTCCAGCCCCCTGCTTAGGCAGGAAACCCTACACCACTTCAGACAAAGGTGGTTTGACATGTCAGGTCATAAGACAGTGTTGTGAGAATGTGTTGTATAACAGAGTGATTTTTACGGGCAGGAGGGCCTTGTGTTTGTTTGCCTGGCTGTTTTGGCGTGCAATTCCCTACAGCAGCATCTCGAGGGGAGAAACTGAAAACAGTTAGTGTCCGGGATGTGAGGGATTTCATAAATAATAAATCAACGCATTCCTCCTTAAAACGGCACACTCTTTAAGCCGGTGTCACTTCCCCACCCTGGATAGGCTCTTTTTTTTTTTTTAAAGGAAGGACCCGAGATGCCGTCGCTTGCATCTCCCAACAGAAGGATGCGAAAAGAGAACGTCCACTTGTGATATTCATCGGATGACTTTTTCCCCCTCCTTCTTCTTCTAGGCAACCCCTACTATGACAGTCTGGGCTCTCTGGGCGTGGGAACTCTGCTGGGAGTTGTCTCGGCATTCCTCATCTACACTAACACAGAAGCCCTCCTGGGCAGATCCATCCAGCCCGACCGTCTTCAGAAGTTGACCGAGTTATTGGAATGTGATGCTGTTGTGCGGTAAGAGACCTGTGTGGCCCCAGTTGGCTATAATCGACCAGAAATAGAAGATTGGAGCAGAGCGTTGAAAATGTGGAAGGGAGATTACTAAGAAAATCTTTCCTCACCCAGGGTTGATCGGTGTGTGTGTGGGATCCTTGGTGCTCTCTGAGCCGATCTGTTTTCTCGCAGGCGTTTCAAGACCCAACTAGGTCACATCATCAGTGCTAGAAGGGAGTAGGATTTGCTCTTTGTTTATGTACAGGTGGCTTGCCCATTCAGTCAGTGTGTATGGGATGGTTCTTGGATTAGGCTATTGTTTATTATTTGTTTGATTTGGTAGTTCCTTTAATTGAGGCATTGTTTACTTCTCGATCGTTGGTCTAGCATTAATTTTGTTATTAAGCTCATCTGGGTGTTGATTCTTGGCGAGGACGTATTAGTTTCCTTTTTTATTTGGCAAATCCCACTCCTTCCTAGCACGGATTACCTCCCACAGACCCATTAGATCTCACAGGGTTGGCCTCCTCCGGGTGCCATCTACCAGCCAATGCCCCCTGGCTATTACCCGGGGGAGGGCCTTCTCTGTGGCAGCTCCGGCCCTC